TAAGTAATGAAACTCTATTTTTTTCTATATTCATTCATGAGAAATGGGTGGGACAGGAGAATGAGAGCTGGCTGCACAGGACAACACCCACACAAACCTTCCTACTGGACCTATAGTTGAAGAACTTGTTTCTGTGGCTCTGATTGGATTAAAGTATTGATCAGCTCAGTATATGTATGTCACTTTCATGACTGCATTGTTCAGTGTTTGTTTAATTGATTCTGTGCCTTTTGTCTCTACATTGGTTTGTGCCACAGGCTATGGTCTATTTACATGGCTGGATACCAGTCATGTTTGCTGAATGTTGATTTATATTATAGCTTTTGTAAAGATTGATGGGAAGACAAAGCAGAGTAAAATGGTCAGATGCTTTTTGACTTTTCTGCTGAAGGGTACTGCTTGTCTCCACAGAGATATTACTGTGGCATTCAATTTATCTGTCTTGCATTTATTAAATTACCTTGAAAAAACAGATTATTACAGTGAGCATGCTGCTTCTCCTCAGATTTGAGCTCCAACTTGGCCTTGTGGTGTCACCTATACTTATTTAAAAAGATGTAGATAAAAAAGTTGCCTTACTGTGGAACATTCCAAGCAACTCACATCACCACGGAAACAAGCAGGTGACGGACCCACCACCCAAAAAGTTATATAGAGCAGCTTTAATATTCAGTTTACAACAGGGGTCTCCAACCTTTTTCCTCCAGTGGGCTACATTTACAAAACAAAAATGCCAGAGAGCTACTCATTTTAGCGACCGCAAGAAATTGAGATGATTCAAAGAAAGAGGGTGAGCCTTTGGGTACAGTTAGAGGCCTATAATACATAAACCATTGTCCATTCATTAGTGCACAAAGTTGGGCTTCAAAATTATATATTTAAAATAGTAATGGGTATGTAATTAACCACATTTTTCTTATTCAGCACAATGGTATAATTCCAAAAGCCTTCGGTGAGCCACTTGGAAGAGGGTGGAATGCTCCTGGTAGCTAGTGAGCTACAGGTTGGAGAACCCTGGTTTACAACATGTATTTCCAGGAATGCCTCAAGTTTCAAAAGATCAGAACAGCTCTGGTAAATGGTTACATTTTTATATAGCTCTTTTCCACCTTCAGGGTATTCAAAGTGCTTTACATCAAGGAACGACTCACCCATTTACACACACATTCATAGAACAGTGTACACAGACACTGGGGGTGAGGGGGTTTAAGTATCTTGCCCAAGGACACAACATTCATGTTGTTCTGTAGGAGTTGGAATCACACCACCAATCTGGGGGTCAGTGGATCTGACCTCTCAATGTTTACATCAAGAACACAATTCAAACCTTCAGATCAGGGGAGTCACATTCTACCAACTGAGCTACTGTACAGGTGTAAACTAGGGTTTTCATAATTTGATTTTTGGAGAAGACCTATTGTGTTGGTGGCAGAGGACATTATATATTACATAAATAATTCCACCTCTGTGATTTGTAACCATTAATAATTGCAGTTTGGGTTTTGAGTGCCTCTCTGTCTCCTTGGTTACAGAAGATGCTGAAGTCAAAATGATTGTTTCCATTGCTCTCTTTGTGTGGTGGTTGTTTCATTCTTGGCAGTTTTCCATCTCTCATCCCACTGTCCTCAGATTTGATCCTGATCCAAAACTCAGCTCCTCATCACAGCGATTTGAGCTGGAGAAGTTTGTACCAGCAGACGGACTTAGTGGGAAGAAGCAGGTGCAGAGACAGAGAAGGACAAAAACACCATTTGGGAGGAATGTGGGAGAAACGCCTCAGGCTGAAGAACGTGTGTGCACAGGATCTGCAACAACACACTCATTAAGCAACCAAAAGTAAACAAATACATATAGTACACTATATTTATACATATAGAACTAGTGCCAACATACTCATTAAGCAACCAACACAATTGAACACAATCCTATTATTAGGAACTCTGGACCAAAATTAATTTAGGAGACTATGTGTGGCAGGGCCAAAGGTTTATATGTGTTTTTGTGAGTATTTATTAAAACTAAAATAAATACATCGCTGAAGAAAAAAAAAAAGAGTAGATATAGAAGTGGGTGATATGCCAAAAAATGTATATTGCAATTTTCTTCTAATCACAATTCATGTTTGTGAAAGTTTTCTCTTCACTGTGATTGGTTAAATCCACCTGTCACTCAGAGCATAGGAGGAGAGGACAGTGGAAAGTGTGGGGTTTTGAGCACAGAGCTTCATTAAACAAAAAAGCAGGGAATCACATAATTAGATTTTCATCACCATTTTGCACAATTTTCACCTCTAAAATTATCATAAACATAATAATTGTCCAGTGTGATCATGTTTTCCTCATAGCTGTATTTAGTAAAGTGCATTAGCAGACAGGAGAGGGAGAATCTACGAGAAGTGGGTCTGAAGAGGTTGATGAACGATATGTCCCTTATGTAGGACAAGGCAACTTTTCATCAGCCCCAGAAATAAAACCCAAAACTTTGAGATATTGGGGTCACATCCTCTCCAGGGGTAGAGGAGGAGTGGACTGGACTGGCCTTAAAGGGGACATATATGTAAAAAAAAAAAATTTAATCATATTATTCCAAAGTTCCCTCAATATAAGTTTACTTCAAGTTGCATTTCGACTGAGTAATCCTGCATTGTGCATTTGAGTTTTGAGTGCTCTGAGAATTGCAGTTTTCACTTACCATCCACCCAACCCACTACTCAGTCTGGGTTATACATGTTGGGTAAAAAAAAAAAAAAATGTCACATAGCAATAACAAAAAAAATTTATGCTTATTGTTCCAGTAAAATAGTTCTGCAAATTTGAACAGGAAGTTAATGGTTATTATTAAACTGTTTTAGAACGTTTCGGTTTACAAAAAGCCAAATGTAAAATAAGGATATATACAAATCATACCAAATACTCAGATAAAAGTGTAATATGTCCCACAGGTCTGGTCAATCAGGCATTTCTGTGTTGTCATTCTACAGGATTCACAATAAGCTGTGGTGTGATGCAAAATTTTAGTGTTGCAATATAAAAAATGTAATTAATTAACTGATATCCTATTTAGTATTTCTATAACTATATATTACTGGGGAAAATGTAGAAAATATTAATTTAGTTTTGGTTATCAAAATAAGTCAAGCACACTAACGAAAACTTAAATATTGCTAAGGGGTCTATCTAGCCTTAAAAATATAACATCTTTTCTGTTAAATATATGTATTAATTGTGCTGGACTGTTGATCATTTTATTTGGGTTGAATTTGTGTTATTTCTGCTTTGAATTGATGAACGAATGCTTTTTTCCATTGTATTTTTTATGCTACAAATAAGAAATAAACTGAAACCTTTTATTAATGACATATTTACACATACAGTATATTTAAATCAGATTTTCACATTTTTATAATAATGGTACTGTGAAAATCTATAATTGTACAAAATCAATTAGATCCTTGACACCTTTTCGCTGCAGTTCTGTGAGACAGTTGGTTTGGTTCAAATAGGTCACACAGCACATGGCCGCACTGCTGTGAAGGGAATACAGACAGCAATGTGATTTTCTTATGTAAGGAGCAGGGGCAGAATGGAGTCTACTCACTAACCACTCACCAGTTTGTGTCACTGAAGACTGGGAAGGAGAAATATGCACTAAAGGCACTGGGAACAGGGGGAGGAGGTAGAGGACTGGAATCTGTTTAAGCTGACGTTTAGGTTGACGTCATGGGGGCCAACATTTCTGAGTTCCATAAACACAAACAGCAGGAAAAGCAAATTTGCCTCCTGAATTTAAGTTTGGCCAATCTAGAGTGATATTATTTTTATACAAAAGAATAACAGTCTGATCAACATGCCCTTGAGTCAGAACCAAACATGATAATTATCTTATTTCAGTGACGCAGAATGACAAAAAGACATTTCTCTCACCTCAGATTAAAAGTTTCATGCTTCACTCATTGATTTTGCAGACATCCATGATATTTATTTGTCCCTTTACTTGTAAGCAGGCATATTTGTTTTGATAGGGACAGACCATGTGTGTCCCTGAATGGCTAATCCACCTGTCAATCACACCCATCTGAACTCTGGGAGATTCACTGGTGACCAGACTCACATCTTCAGAAAGTATTGAAAACATATGTATTCTGGATCCCAGGCAAGAGTTTAAGGCATATTATAGGGAAAATTATTTCAACCAAAACAGTATAAGTGGTTTTGTACTAAATGGTGAGCACTTGAATGTGCCATTGAATGTATCCTTTTATTTCATTACAGTATTTTTTTCTACTGTAAGTGGGATTGCCTTTCCACAGATCTGACCTGTAATTCTGGTGTGGTGCCATAAATATATATAATGGAATATCGTGGGACTTTAGTGTATGTTGCATCAGGTTAATATTGCTTATTTCAATCAATAATTAATTGTGCTAGTGGAGCTAATTTCACAAATAATATGGTTTTAAATCAAATAGTACATTAAACACAGAGGCATAATGTTAAATCTTATTTCTTGAAATAATATTGTAACCCCCATGATAATGTCTCATGACCCCCCGTACAGTTCGAAACCCTACTTTGGGAAGCACATTTACAGGTCCTATATTACACATAATTGATTCTTACAAACTTTAATCAATGTTATAATATTGTTACCTCATCAAAAGCATATCTGTAGTTGTGTTTCATTCACACGTTTGAAAAATTCTGGTTTATAAGTCTGTCTCCATCTCTAAAGCTCAAAAATGTTGTTCCATCTTGTGATGTCATGAAGTGGTAGTTTTCCAATTAATAACCTTTCATCCATCACAAAGTGTTTTCTGTTTGAGAGAAGAACTCAATATGCAGGGATTGTGCATTAAACTTGTGTGAATGAAGCAAAACACAACTCTAGGTATATTTTTGATGAGGAAACAACTTTATAACATAGATCATAAAACAGTGTAATATGGGAACTTTAAGAGAGACATATCTGTTCTTGTGTTAAGGAAACTTTCCTTTGAACATACAAAAATTAACTTCAATAATACAAGTACAATTGAAGCTATATTGATAAATCTGTATTTGAACTCACATTTTACAATTATCTCAATATAATACATAATACTTTAGGTTTAATATATTCCAAAGAAAAGATATTGGTCTTACAGATATGATAAAACATTAAGTGCACATTTAAGAGTTCGGACTATGCAACATTATATCCTTTTATCTAAAACATTTTTATAGATTTATTTTTGTTTTAAATCAGTGCAAAAAGCATCAAAATAACTGGAAGAATGGCCCCAGTGTTACAGTACAGTAATATAAAAGTACTCCATAGTAAATACATGAATCCCGTTAGAAGAACACTAAACGCTAAATTAAAGGCAATGACAGTTTGCATAAAGGCATTTGTGAGATGGAGGGAACTACTTATCAGCAATGGCCACATTATTAGGTACAATTGTTTGAATGTTTGTAAATGTGACAATAAATGAAAACGTGACTAAAAGACTATATTTTTAAGATTGCTAAAAATACTCAAAGTCAAAGTATTATTAACCAAATCCACAAAGTTGTGTAGGGTCTATTATATGCATATTCATGGGTTTCCTGTTTAAGGTGCCATTTTGAAGACTTCTGGGCATTTGACAGATACAATATTTAGTTTTGAATTGCTAAAGCTTGGTCCAGTCTCTAAAATCAGGAGGTACGATCACATAAGTCCTGTGCTCAGGTCTCTGCACTAACTTTCTGTGGTATATTATTTACCAATACTGACTGATGTTTCCAGGTCATTTAGATGTCATACTGAGATTATAAGATTAAAGCATGAAAATACTAGAAAATAAAGCACATAGACTGTTTCCATGGGTAATTACCTTATTTACACTGTTAACTACAATATTATCACTGTGCTGTATCGTACAGCTGAGCTGTAGTAAAACTCTAACCCACTGTTTAGTCTCTGTTTAATCTATCCAGAATTTTTTTTTACCAAACTGTCTAAACACTATATAGGTAGGTTTGTGAGGATATAACATTTTAACAAATTTAAAAAATCAAAATAGGAACTTTAGCATAACATAGTCAATATAGGCCCTTTAACTTTACACTTCTTTCGGTACAAAATAATACATTTATGTAAACTGTATTTTTATATAAATGTCAGGTTGTTTGCTGTCAACAGGACTAAATGTATTGAATTGCTGCTATATGAATATCTACAAACACATGTACCCATAATGTGGCCAAAATCTGTGTATTTCCCCTGTACAATTATAAATTAAACATTTCTTTCTCAAATATAAAAATAATCTACAATATTTTCCATGATTCAGAGGAGGCAGCTGTGTGAACCAGTTGCATTGCAGAAATACAGGTCAGACTGCACAGTGGTAAGTATCTAGGCCACTCTCCCTGGGCCCACCTGCTGCATCAGCTGGGAGGGCGCAGTGAGGCTGGTTAAGTAGGCGAGAGCGTCCCCTCCGACAGTACAAGGTGTGTCCGTTTGGTCCAATAAGGAAATGTGCATAGGCAGTCACATTTTAGGTGCAAGGACAAGTGTAAAAATGGTCCCTATAAAACAGTAGCTTCTTCCATGGCGTTGGCCCATCTGTAGAAAAAAACAATGACAAAATATAAAACATAAAATTATGTGCAGTTTGGTTGGTCAAGTCACTTTTGTAAAAAAATTAAAATAAATAAATAAATATATATATATATATATACATATATATACACACATACACACACACACACACACACATATATATATAATAATTAAAGGTAGAAAGATAAAAATACAATGCTGCTGTATTTATAATAACATTTTACATAAAGTAGAAAGAGTTCCTTACTTTGGGTTGCCAGATCAAAAAAATTGTTTGCAATAACCCCCAAAAAGACTCTATGTAACACTCTATGACAGGCATCAGAGGTTCAGTTGTAATCGCAATTCGGTGGAAATTCATTCTCTGCATTTTGCCGATCTTTCAACCAGTGCCACTAGTCTTGGTCATGACTGTCTTTGCTGGAGGATTTTGCCAATTGTGTATGTTTTGGGTATTTAAAGTATATGTTACTGTCTCACCTCTGAGCAGTGAAGTTGTCCTCTGCTTTAAACGTGTAGAACAGAGTGTTTTTGTGGTACAGCTGAAACACAGTGGCCTCTTCTTCTCCCTGAACTCTGTCCGGCAGTTTGACCGTGAAGCCCAGGAGAGGTAAGGTCTCTGACGCCACCTTCTCCTGGGAGGAGCATTTAGAGACACATCAGTAACTAGACAAATGGGCAAATGTTAACATTATAGCCTATGGTCATGGTTCTCTAACTTTTCACACCCAGTACTACATGTCGCTTTCCAAGTACCAGATCTAAACCCAGACTAGGTCAGGTCTAAATTAGCACTATAGCACTAGTTTAGTGTAAGTTTCCTCAGGTCTAAGGGAGGTGTGGCCCCCTCACCTCTCGCGCTCTGTAGGTATAAAGCACCTTGTCTTTGAGCAGAAACCACAGGCGTTTCCAATTCCTCTTTGTTTTACTTCGCTGCAGAGAGCCACTGAGGGCCCCCTCCTCACACACCATCACCTGAGCACAACACAGACACAACACAATGACTGTTACTGAAAATGAAATCCATAATAATAGGTTTAAAATATCACATAAAATGCAAATCAGTCAATATATTACTTGCATTTCTAAAGGGTCACCTCTCCACAGACCCAACATGTAACTTCAACTGGTAATACCTCTTGTTTGTCCCCATAGAGCTATTACTTTGCCTGGCATTAAACATAACTATCTTCATGGAGATAAGCATGTGATATTACCAGGCCACTGCAAGGTCAGTGGATTGGCTCTGAGAGTGTTCAGTGTTCTAAATAGAAGTTCATGTTTTCCTGTAACTGAATTAATGCAAGATAAACTTTTAATGCAATGCTGTGGAAAACTGTGGAACACTAAAGTTACAGAGTGCACCTTTAAGCCTCCCTGGGCATAGATGTCAGGAGGCAAAAGAACACTTTTGCCTCCTGACCCTGTGGTTTTAAGTTCTACCATAAAAATATTAGAGTAAACAAATAAATTGATAGCTAGTACAGAGTGTGTGAGAGTGTGACCTGATTGAATGAGAGAGTTCCTCTGCGGTGCCTCCACAGGTGTTTGGGGGTGTGGATATTCTGAAACACAGCAGACAAGGGGCGACTGCGAGCCGGGCGAGGGCTGTCAGCTCCTGGGGCTGTGTCTTCACCTAGAGACCAAAAGTCACATTTAAGACTTGTATATACAATTCATGTTTTGGAATTGCCAACATCAAAGTGTGCAATGTGAAAGAATCATGGACTTTTGGTCCTAAATTACACAAAATTGGCACATTAAGCCATCTCAGAATGTTGTTACCTCATCAAAACCATATGTGGAATTTGCTTCACTCACACTCATTTGGAAATAATATGTAACGTTTTCCTCTCAAATGTACATGTAAAACTTACATATTATAATGTCTATGGGCTCACTGATATAAAGTAGTACATTATACAAATAAATTATGTAAAGTTCATTTTAAGCTCAATTTCCTATCATGCTTGTTGTGGGGAACCGCTTTCTGTTTGAGAGAAGGACTCTAAATATGCAGGGTTCGTGTGTTAAACATGTGTGAATGAAATTTCCTTTGATGAGGAAACATTATAACATAAAACAGAAAAAAAGAAGAAGAAAAACAGCTAATACATTTTGAAGTTTTGAATCACCTTTCTTCTTCAGCTCACTGTAGCAGTGCTCACACACTTTGGCCATTCGATACCTCATGTACTTCAGAGGAAATCTGTTTTTGGAGCAGTTTCTACACACAACCTGTAACATGACATTATAATAATATTGATTATACAGTTTTTCCCATAGATTTATTCTGAGACTATGGTGGCCCAAGCAATCTGTATTTTAATCATTAATTACAGATAATATATAGTTAATGTGAAACAGTGCATTATACTGTACCCTTCCGCAGCTGTGGCAGTGTTGGCGCGCAGAGGTCAGGCTAAACTCTGAGGTACAGCTCATGCAAATTGTCGGCTCAGACAGAGGGACAAATGTAGGAGCTTTTTCCCCTAAACATGACCACACAGGCTCTCTGGGCTGGAGAAAAAAACCCCAAAACAAATGAAGACACAGGGAGGGAGCAGGTCTGTCACAATAACGTCTATATAGTCATTATCACATCAGGGAGATTTTTATTATCTGCACTGGACCTCCAAATAGCTTAGGAAATAATAAATCTGATATTCATATCAGATGGGGTTAATCTTATAATACAATGAGAAAAAACACACATTTACAGTTTATATATTTTGACAAAAGGTAAATTCACTCACATCAGATGGACTGTTCGGAGCTGAACCACGTGCATGTTCATTCACTGTGTGACTCAGAGTGAAAAACCACTCCTCCCTCTCAATGAATGAACTGGAATAATACAATGAAGCATGCTCATAAAAATAAAGCATTCTTAAGATTATTAAATTTAAATGTAGTAATAGGATTAATAGCACACACCTGGCCGACAGAGTGATGGAGAGGTCCTCTGACTCGATCCTTAGAGCGTTTTGGACACTGTCAACAATAGGTTTACTCACCTGCAAAAAGAAATATATACCACTTAGTGCAGTCACAATACGAAGCTTGTATAGAGGTACAAGAAGAATGACTTTATTCTAACAGTATTTGTCAAATTTGAGACTGACCTTGAGCCCAGTCAGCTGCAGTGTGTTTTTAAGTCTGTATTTTCCGTCTTGTTGAGGGAATGTGTAAAGGAGAACATCATTCATCTGTCAAGGTTTAAATAACATCACATATTGAACATAAATATATATTGGATAAATTGTCATTAATAACTTTCAATAATAACAAGCTGTAGTTAACTTTTTTATTTGTAGTACAAGCTAATTTAAAAAATAAAAAAAAAGTATATTAAAATTCACTAGGTATAGATGTCATTTATTACTTTGGTAGAAAGGAATCATAACATCAACCTATTCTATATATTGTTGCATGTATTTTAATAGTCCACTAGATGGCAATGCACCTTAACTTCTATTCTATGTGCAAACTGGGTGAGTTGCACTTAATTAAACATGTTTGTTTATTTTTAATGCTAAGTTTTTATCAAAGGGAACATAATATTTCAAAAAATAGCATTAAAAAAAAAAAATCATTATTACTGATCCATCCCAGTGCAGCAGATCAAATTAGTTACAAGATATAAACTTTGACAATGCCCTTCAGAGATGAGCAGAGTTTTGATTTTAAGATTTTATAGTGCTGCATCTAAGTGAAACATGGCAGTACCCATTATATTTTGTATAGGCTGGGTCACATGACATCACAATATTCTTGAATCCCTATAGTTTATATTAGCTGGAGGACAGTGAATCTCCCAAAGAGTTAGCCTATCTAAGCCCCTGCCCTCCATCTGAAATATGACATAATCACTTGATTATGTATATATTATGTAATAGAACATGAATGCAAATTATTCTGTCTCCTACCTGTGCACATCTCCAGATCTATGTGTATAATCTAAATTAAATTCAAAAGTGTGTCCGTAAAATCTTTGATGATATTGTTTGTCTGACCTCCATATGTTTTGTGTGAGAAAGAGAACAGGAACTGAGTGTTCAGAAACATCCTGCAGGAAAACCCCACAGAGAGGACGAGGAGAGGCTAGACCCAACATGTCCCACTCTAACTTTTTGTTGGACATAAAATTTTGGATGAATTAAAAATATTTAAAATAGTTCACCAGAAACAGGTGACGAGGCTGTCGACTCTTCCGGCTGACTTTCATTAATGTTCCCTCTTTAATGAACACCTGTTAAAAGAAAATATAAATTATGATTGAACATGAGTTTTTCTGGGTGTGACAGGTGCACTGCAAAAAGGAGCAGGCAGGAGCAGTTTTTGTTTTGGTTCGTACCCGCCCCGGCTGCAGCAGGTCCCTCTGGCCTCTGACACTGTAGTCGATATTGACCAAACGCAATAAGTTTTCCTGGGACAAAACAAAAGAAAATCATATATCTACAATATGGAAAAGAGAGATGCACTCCTGTTCACTCATATGAACAACAGTAATGAAATTCCAAGCAACAGAGGTTCAGCGGTTGAAGCGTTTGCCCACAAACCCAGAGGTTGGTGGTTTAATTCCAGCTCTGTTGGTCTCTGGAGCAGTTGGGCACAGTTCAGTGAGTGTGCCTCAAAAGGGCTTTTGGTACAGACACATAGCTAAAGGTAAAGCTTTCTGCATATAAATAAATAAATAAATTAAATAGGCTGTACAAGTTATCACTGAAAAAAAAAATGTATTGAATGAATTTTTTTAAGTTGGACTATAGTCCGCCCACAGCTGCAAACCAAAATTATCTGCTTAATTGGGCTGTGCCAGGATTAAAGGAGTGAGGAGAAAACTAGTAGGACAAGGAACAATAATGCTCTTAAAACTGCACATACATGGTTTAATAGCAAAAGATGTTGATTCAGTATCAAGTCCCACTTGAGTGCAACAAACATGTCTTGAGTGAATGAGTGATACCTAAGTGTATGTATAATGGAGATATAAGAATAATCGATGCATTGTATACAATTTTGAACTCACTTTGAACATACATTATTATGTAAATCTTACTTATTATTATTATTATTATTATTATTATTATTATTATTATTATTATTACAACTTACCCCATTCTTTAAGCTGTCATTTGCTTGATATGCGATGTCGGACACTATTGTCACAGCAGCTGAATGAGCAAAAATAACCATGATGAGTTAGAGGCGTGTGTTGTAACTAATTAAAGTCAGAATAGAGGAAACACACATATAGCTTTAGTATGGCTCCCCGATCAGACATAAGACAGAGATAGTGCAAGTGTCCCCTAATGCATTAAACATTAGTGTAGGCACATAAGAGTAGAAATGAGTGCTTGGAGGGTCTGGGCTGTGCTAAATTGGCCGTTCCATGATCGCTGCTCCATGTCAAATGATTGCAAATAAATTCAACACAAAACAACAAATACGGATTCTATAGGTCCACAGGGATCTTTTTTAGTCACTGTGTCCACCATTCAGGTATAGCTCAGGGGTATTATGGGACAGACAGAATGAACACCTTAACAATGGAAGTGATAATATTGCAGTGGTTCAGATGACATTACTACTCTATAGGTGTAGAATGTTTAATAGAAATGTGGGATAGGTGAAATCATTGCTTGTAATTTGCAGTTTTTAGTAGCCTACGGATGCTGTGATGCCAGTCTTATACCCAAGTCAGTGTTGTAAATAAAAATATTCAGAAATTTTGCCCATACACTGTCAAAAGAAGTAGACTGAGTGTGCACCACCCATAGTGTTCGGCTCCAGTCAAATGAAGCTCATAAGGCTTGTGGTTAAAGAAGCAGATTTCGAGCAGAGTTCCATACTAGGAATTGATTTATCGACCAAATATCGAAATAAAAACACCAGAATCGTGTAGAGTGGGTTAATATGAAAATTTTTTGACCAAAATGGTGAGTCTGGCAGCAGCAGTTACAGAGAGAGGGGTGATATTTTTTTCAATACAAAGTGAATTGGAGCTCAGTTCCTATTTGGAAGCAGTGGCTAGCAAGTTAGCTTTTGTTCATTTATATATAGAGCCTGATTTTGTAAAGATAAAAACTAATTTTATATATTTTTATTTTTTATACTAACTGAGATACTGTGATATATTGTGCCTTATTACAAGATTGGCCTAACCTGGGACTTTTTTTTTTAACATAAATTTTCAATGTATTAAGTCCCATGCCTTTCCAGTCTCTTAAAAGCAACATCCTGTGACTGGATTGTGAAATGTGAGTGAAGAGGGTCTGAACTGACTTCCATATTTGTCTCTCTACACACCACAGTTACCATATGGACAATCACAACACAATATGAGCCAACAGTGGTACATACCCTGAGTGTCTTCATATTCCTGGGAGTCGGGGGACAGGTTGTTGAGGTAATCTGGAAATAAAACACAGTGAGATTAAACTGTGTAAAACAAACACTGAAATAGTAAATCTATATTTGACATACTCACCGGTGAGAAGCATTCTGTACTGAGCCACACGGACGATCACCTGCAGCAGTTGGTGTTTCAGAGACGACTTTTGAGAAATCTGAGGAAAAAAACTTTAATGTTACAACTGGTCATAGTATTTATTTATCATAATTTGTTTTAAACTATAATTCATGATGTACATTTACTGGAACTGCAATGCCACAATGAAGGAAAGACATCTTGAGAAAGACATAGGGCTCAGCATTTTAGTTATAAATTTATGGGAACCATAGTGATTACTGATTATTGTTTGGTTGGCATCAAATATAATTATTCAAATGGAAACAGAGTGAAAGGTAAAAGTTCATAAGTAACTTCAGTTCAAAGGTTGTATTTGAATTCCAGTTAATGTTCCTGGTTAAATCCTGGTTCTGACTTTGTTTTATTCCTAGTTTAAGGCTGCTTTAGTCTAGATTAACGGTGGATTCACACTTGCATGCACATCACATCAAAACTGGGACTAAATTTGGAGCAAAACTGGATTACAGTAGAACAAGATTAAACTTGGACTAGAACAGGATGACCCAAATCTACATCAAGACCAAGGGTGTGTTCACATTTGCACAATCACCACATCACCATCAAAATTGGGACTAAACATGGACCTAAACTGGAACTAAACCTGTACTAGATCAGGCTTAAACCAGAACTAGACCAGTACTGGACCAGGACTAGACCAGGACTAAACCAGGAAAAGAACAAGACCAGAACCAAATCTACAATAGGACTCAAATTGGTCCCATACCAGGACAAATAAGGTAAACTGTGAAGCCACCCTTAGATTTCACTTAAAAAGCTAAAACTTTTATTACACGGTCCTTCTACATTAAAACTATATTATTCCTACACATCACAATTTGGAAACTGCCAGCATAACAAAGTTCCTATATCAAGTCTGCAATTAAAACTAAACTCATGACAAAGGCAGTATTGCAGGTTCTTGCATTAGTGAAAAATGTTTAGGGGAATCTGAGGACTTTTAAACTACACTTGTTCTAAATTAGTGACCGCTCTCTCTCCTCCGAGCTCCATAAAAACCAACAAGAAATACAACAGGCTCTGCCCATTAGGGCCTTAACCAAGTTAGTGTCATTGCATTTTCCACTATCCTCCTGCATTATTACACAGGGCTGAAATGAACCATGGAAATGTGTGAAATTTGTTCATGTAGCAAAATCCCACAAGAGAAAAACTAAAGGAAAATGTATGTGTGGTGGCAGCTGGACAATACTCTGCAGCTGGTCATTTTGTATTGTAAAAGTCAGAATAAATGGTGAACAGATGTTGAAGACTATACTATAGGACATAACATTTATACACATAACATTAGTTTTATGATAATTCTAATTTTATAGTAGCCATTAGGCCTAGGATATGTATGAGGCAAAAATATTTAGATTTAAATGTTGCTATGTTAAAGCATGAAAACTTGGTAAATATTAAGTTATGTTTAGCAACAGCTGTGATAGCTAAGCAACAGTATTATCTGTACTATCTGCTACATTAAACCTGGTAATAGTCCTGCATTAGACCTAGTTTAGTTTTGGTTTAAACCTGGTTTAGTACAGCTCTTGTGGGTATTCCCTGCCTGCAGTAGTCAGTATCTATCAGAGATACTGTAAACCCAGTTTAGTCCTTGGTTAGACCTAGTTTACTAGGTCTAACAAAGGTTAGTCCTGGTTAGTCCTTGATTGGACCCAGTTTAGTACAGATCTTGTGGACTGTTACCTTCCTGTTTTAGAGTCCTGGTTTAGAGCTGTGGTCAGTATCTTACAGGGGTGTTGTACACCTTGGTTAGATTTAATTTAGTCTTGAATTAGTGCTGCTTTAGATCTAGTTTAGTCCAGAGTTGGTCCTGGATTAGTCCTGGTTTAGAACTTCTCCTGTGGGTTGTTCATGTTCATGGTCTGAAGTGGTCAGTATCTGTCAAAGGTGCTGTAGACCTGGTTTTAGAAGTAATTTAGTCATGGGTTAAACCTTGTTTAAAACTGTTTTATTGAGGACATAGACATTAGAGTCTGGCAGTCTTGAGCACTGTAGCTCAAAAAGACCGAAAAAACTTCTTTCAAGGTGTAGGTCTCATCATGTTACTTATTTTTAATCCAGTTATTTTTAATCTATCTTTATATCCTCTAGATGGAATAAAAATAGAATACCTGTTAACAGGTGTCTTGTGATCTTATTTAATGAAGGCTAATTATAACTTGTCCATAAACTATTTCCTTCAAAACAACTTTATTATTCTAGTGTTTTGGGAAGTCATAATAGTTTATGGGTCACTACAGGATTCTTAAGTGTTGTTGAAGTAGACATTAAACAAAGTGTAAATGTAGTGTCAGTGTTAATGTAAGGTTTCTTCCAGGGCATTATACATAGGTCAATGGTGAGGACTCGAACCAGGGATTTTCTAGTCCAGAGGTGAATGTTCTACCCACAGACTCTTAAAGCCGAAGTAGAGAAACTATGTGAAAATCCAAAAGAATGAACAGTGATTCAACATTTTACCCAAAGCCATAAAATGACGAGAGTTACCTAGATTCTGGTCTCAGTTAGATATTCATTTCATGCATGTTACATACAATCACATGATGGCTGCAAACATTACATAGGATTTTTCTATGCATATCTAAGTGTATCATAAGACGCAAGATTTACAGAAGTAGAAGTAAATGTGTATATGAAGTTACCAGACCTTATAATGGACACATTTTGAGGACCATTCAAAAGACGTTCAAGGTTTGTCAAAAGTATAGAAAATCAAATGCTAATCCACACTAAAACTAGTATTAAAACTAGATACTCATCAGAACAGGTATCACTGCTAAAAAAGTCACATTGACAGGATAGAAATGTACCTTTCCTGAATACCTTTAGAATGATCTTGAGCTGTATCAGAACAAGTATAAGAGCACATAGACTAGTATATGCCCATGGACCACTGTGGAACCTACCTCGAGGACTGAGGGGTTAGAGATATAAGACCACACAGTAATATAGAAGAAATTACTTTGATTTAATGTTGAAAATCACATTCTATTGTCTACATAAGGCATGTTTTAATTATCACCCTGGTATCTTAATTTGTGAGGATGCAGTCTATTCATTGGTATTGAAATGAAGTTTGAAATTTTAGTGTCGTGACAGCACTCCCAGTTATTGGAATGGTTCTGATTTGAAAGACCTCCATATTTTGTCAGTGTAAATGAAGTTTCACCTCAAACTGTTGGACCACATCATAGAGCCCTGGAGAGGTCCTGCAGCTCTCCTCCAACAGAGATACACTGCGGTCGTAATGTCCGATGAATGTGGTGAAGACCAGGAACTCAGGCTTCCTCATCAAGAAGATGTCTGCTATCTTCTGACTGTCACTCCTGTACAGACACATACATTGAGTTTCCATGCTTTTTGGGGACATTACATTGCATTAATTTTCTGGAGACTGATTCTAATGTTAAAGGGACCATATTATGCTATTTTCCGATCTATGTTACAAAGATGTTTCCTCATCACAAACATCCCTGGAGTTTTGTTTTGTTTTATACACACGTTTAACACACATATTGCACACATCTTGCATATTTAGGCATGTTCCTCTCTCAAACAGAAAACACTCTGTTTCAACTTGTGATGTTATATGGTAATACAAGAAGTGCTCCGCTGTATTTTTAAACTCCATAAAGCTTCACCAGAATGATTTGGAAAATTTAAGCTCTGGAACTGCCATTCTAAAGATTCAAAAGATAAAAGCTAGCTGTTGTTTGAAGAAGACACATAAACACAGGTGCACTGTTCATGGAAATGATAAATTTTGAAATTGCCTCATGTTCTAATGTTGATGATATGTTGAACTCTGTGACTTTGAGTGTTTTGAATGTTCTGGATGCCATCGCCCCGATAAAGGTTAAAATGGTTAAAGATAGGCAAAAAGCTCCATGGAGGAATGATGACTCAGTCAGAGCACAGAAAAGGGAGTGCCAGAAGGCTGAGCGGAAATGGCGCAAGTCAAACCTCCAGGTTCATTATGAGATTTACAGAGGAAAAATGCATATGTACAATTACACTTTGAGTAAAACAAGAGAGAAGTATTTTTCGGACATTATTGGTAATTGCAGTAACAACTCTCGTGTCCTGTTTGCAACAGTGAACAGATTAACAAACCCTCCAGCTCCACTGCCACTAGAACTAATTTCCACATCTAAATGTAATGAGTTTGCAGTTTTCTTTAATGACAAAGTTCAGGGCATCAAAAATGCCATCAATTCCACAACACAAATAACAAGCATGCAGCCACAGAGACACTTAGAGCTGAATCACTTTGCACCTGTAACTGACAAAACTGTTTTAGAGATCGTTACCAGTCTGAGTTCATCTACTTGCTGTCTGGACATGTTACCCACTAGATTTCTAAAGTCCGTCCTCAGCAGTTTACTTTCACCACTCACTCACATAGTTAACATGTCACTTCAATCTGGAACATTCCCAAACGCATTGAAAACTGCGGTCATTAAGCCTCTCCTAAAGAAGAGCAGTCTTGATGCCACAGTACTGAACAATTTCCGACCCATCTCAAATCTGCCGTTTTTTGGCAAAGTCCTTGAAAAAGCTGTTTACCAACAACTTACGAACTTTCTCCAAATGAACAACTCCTTTGATGTTTTCCAGTCAGGTTTTAGAGCCCACCACAGCACTGAGACTGCTCTTATCAAGGTGACAAATGACATCCGCCTGAACACTGATGCAGGCAAAGTCTCAGTCTTGATCCTGTTAGATCTGAGTGCTGCTTTTGACACTGTCGATCATGGGATCCTCTTACAGAGACTAGAGGACTGGGTGGGCATCTCTGGTACTGTACTAAACTGGTTCAAGTCCTACCTAGAAGACAGGAAGTATTTTGTTGAAATTGGAAACTGTGTCTCAGATCACATGGCCCTGACCTGTGGGGTGCCTCAGGGGTCAATCCTGGGCCCCCTGTTGTTCAATCTCTACATGCTGCCATTAGGCCAGTTAATAAGCAGCAATAATGTGTCCTACCACAATTATGCAGATGACACTCAGATCTATGTCTCTCTGGCAGCAGGAGACTATGGACCAGTGGACTCACTTTGTCACTGCATCCAACAGATCAGTGTGTGGATGCAAAACAACTTTCTCTAGCTAAACTCTGACAAGACTGAAGTCATAGTGTTTGGTCCACAGAAACAAAGGGACAGTGTCAGCAGTCACCTCCAGTCTCTCTCTCTAAAACCTTCAAATCAAGCAAGAAATCTAGGGGTAATAATGGACTCAGACTTGAACTTTAACAGCCACATCAAATCAATAACATCTGCAGCCTTTTACCATCTAAAAAACATAGCAAAAATCAAAGGTTTCCTGTTTAAAGCAGACATGGAGAAACTTATCCATGCGTTTGTCTCCAGTAGGTTAGACTACTGTAATGGTCTGCTCACTGGTCTCTCCAAACGAGCTGTGAGACAGCTGCAGAACATCCAGAACGCTGCAGCTCGGGTCCTTACTCGAACTAGGAAGTACGAGCACATAAGTCCTGTGCTCAGGTCTCTGCACTGGCTTCCTGTGGCTCAGAGAATAGACTTTAAAGCAGCTCTGCTTGTGTACAAATCTCTCCATGGCCGAGCACCAAAGTACATCTGTGACATGTTAGTGCCATATGAACACTCTCGCACTCTGAGGACCTCAGGGACCGACCTCCTGCTGGTGCCCAGAGTCAGGACTAAACAAGGGGAGTCAGCGTTTCAGGTTCATGCAGCTAAAACCTGGAACAGTCTTCCTGAACATGTGAGACAGGCCTCTTCTGTGACGCTGTTTAAATCCAGGCTCAAAACATTTCTTTTTGACTGTGCATATAACTGAAAGGTTTTCATTCCGCACTCTTCTCTCCAATTTATGTCTCTCTTTTTTAATTTTAATCTTCATGATTATTTATGTTTTGATTTGTTTTTATTATGATTTTAATGTATTTCTTATTCTGTAAAGCACTTTGAATTACTTTGTGTACAAATTGTGCTATACAAATAAGCTTGCCTTGCCTTGCCTTGCCTGTTAATTAACTACCACTTCATGACATCACAAGGGGAAACAGAGCATTTTGAGCTTTGGAGATGTAGACAGACTAAATTCAATTCATGTGTGAATGAAAGGAGAGGACGAAGCAGGGAATCGAAAATTAAATTAACTGAAATTTAAAAAAAAATCTTTATAGAGAAGAGAGAAAAATATACTTTTAATACTTGATGTAGGCTATGTTTTTATGGTTTACTAAATGAAGCTATATTTTTATTCAATTACTGTTTGTATTTGAGTCTTTGTTATTTGTATTTAGTTTTTTTCTCACCACAGTCGGATGCGTCCCTCCAGCTCAGACAGGATCCTGTGGTGAAGGCTGTAGACATCAGGTAACTCGATCAGAATCTCCCTGAGCCTCTCCTCCTGCACCACGGGCTGCCCATCTGAGTCCACCGCAGACAGCACCGCCTCACGGAAGTCCTGACACAAAACCAAGAACAGATAAAATCAGTTAAAGGGCCACTGTGTTACTTTTTTAGTGGTCACTCACTAGTCTCCATGGACATGCTATTGATATTATTGCTTAGCCTGAAATGTTCCATAATATGACAATAAACATTCTTTTCAGTTAAATACAATATGAATACACAGTGAAAGAGATGCATCTTATAACTTGTAAGAAGAGAAAAAGAAGTGTTTAATGCCATACTGTGGAATATTCTTAACTGTCTAACATTCATGACAATATTGGTAGAATTGCAAAATAAGATGGAACATTCTAAGCAAAGCAATAACATCTCCATGGAGACAAGCAGGTGGCAGACCTTCAAACAGAAAAGTTATATAGTGAACCTTTAAGGAAACAAAATGTTGTGACTTACATCATGAAGAAGCTTGAGGAGTTTTACATGTCTGTGAAAATATTAATAAAAATAACAATTAGGCACAATAAATTCATTTATATTAATATAGTTACTTACTGTCGCTCTGTGTCCAGCAGCTCTTTAGCCACATAATAGGCTCTGGAGAGACCATCAGGCTGTCAACCATATACAGACAGTCAGCAACATTATTATTGACCACGCACCAGTTATCAAATATTTGCCAAAGTTGCCTTACTATCTATAAGAAAGCCAATACAAATTTGAAGTCTGGGGGTGGGGGTCCCACATCTAAATTATGTTTTCATGAAAATCTGGTTTGGTTCAAAATGCTAAATAATTCAGATTAAGAGGAGAGGTAAGAGCTTCGCTGGGTCATAAAAAATGTCTTTAAAAACGCAGTACAGGTGCTCTACAAGGGTAGAATGATGTGGCCCTTACTCTTTGTCAGGACATGAGGAGCCCTAATTGTTGTCAAAGTATATTTTTTTCATTTTGCATTTTATGTTTATATTTCTGTATTTATTGTTTGAGTGACTTTTTTTTTCAGTAACATTTTTATGTTTAGAGTCTAAGTATAAGTCTAGAACTATGTCAAGAGTCTAAGTCTAGGAGAAAACAACAAAAAACTGGTTGATACCTTTTTGGGCATTTGCCCAAAGGATGGATTTAAATCTGTTTTTTATTGCTCCAGTTAACTCAATGAGTCTAAACACATGACCCCAGTGACCTGTCTTTGGTAGGAGCTGTCAGCGTTGCAGCCCTCCTCGTCTGAAGTGGGTCCCTGCTCTTCGTCTGTCACTGGAGCAACAGCTACCGAGCACACGTTGTACGCCTCTGTGTAGGCACTGGGAGAAATACAGAAAGAGAATCAAAATAGAATATATAATATTACTTATAATCCAAGGTCATGTAGCATCACTTTAGCACCACCTGGGTCAAATTGAGTAAAAATCCAAAATTCACATGTCTTTCAAAATGATCAGTTTGATCAAATATCAGTTTATAAAAAACAATATGGGTAGATTAATCACTAGTTGCAGGCTGTAGCCCTACTAGCCATAGCCATAGCAAATGTTATGTAAATGGTAAAAAGTCTTCAAAAATGTTGCACCCTTCTTCCCATATTTTCAGTGTTCTTTCGCTGTCTGTCTATTGAATACAGATTGTGATTGTCAATCTGCAATTATTTAGGTATTACAATGTCATCTTAAACCCACAAAAAACAGATCTAGCTCATTTTAAAGAGTTTGCAGTAGTCCAAATGTGTTCCTCCCTTTCAGATTACTAACATCCTAATTATACACCACAATGAGGCCAGTGCGGAGTTTTGCCATCAGGATAATGCTAACAACTAGTATGCTAACAGTGCGCCAATGCTACTCTGTGGTTCACAGATGATAAAAATGCTTTAAGGCTTAAAGACTGTTGTGTGTTGTCTGCTTAAAGTTTAAGCAGACAACACACAACAGTCTCATTTTAGAGCTGCTTTTACAGAATATCTGTACTGGGGCACAATCCCCATTATATTAAAGATGCACCATGTAACTTTTTTGGTGTGCGAGTACCTGCTTGTCATGATTGCTTTGACTGGATTGCTCCACAGTATAGCATTTAACTTCTTCATCTCCATGTAGACAAGCAGGTGATACCACTATGCTAGGTCGGATCTGTGGAGAGGCGACCCAGCAACAATAACAATGCAAGAATAAATGCAGGAATAAAACAGCTGTAATTTATTAAACTCAATTCATTCAAACATGTAACCCTGCATTATTAGTCTGTCTATATCTCCAAAGCTCAAAATGGCAAGTTCCACCTTGTGATGTCATGAAAGAGTAGTTTTCAAGTTAATAGCTATCTTTTACCTTTACTTCAGTAGAGATTGGAAATTCCAGAGCAAATGATCCAAATGATTCTAGTGAAGGTATATGGAGTTTAAAAATTGAGCACTTACTCTGTAAGTGGCATGGCATCACAAGGTGGAACAGAGTGTTTTCTGCCTGAGAGAAGAACATGCAGGGTTTGTGTGTTAAACATGTGCGAATGAAACAAAACTCAACTGCAGGTATGTTTGTGATGAGAATATAAATATAAATGGTAATAATAAATTCAAAAAAATAAGAAGCAAAAAGAGCAAGGGACAGGTAAATATATAAATCAGTACACAGTGCACCTTTAAGACTATATAACCCTCCCTCCCTGCTATTCAAAAACACATGTCCCCACCAGAGTCTATTAAACATGTCCTTGCAGTGTCATCCTGACCTTAAGTGTGTAGCGTAACATTCTCCAGTCTTCTCTGTGGCACTAACTGACAATGCTAATCTCTTCAACGCTGTGGGAGGTGTGAGAATAAAAGCTTAAAGTTACAATAAAGATGCATTCCTTTTGTGGCATGTTTTACAATGGACCCAGCCCTACTGAGATAGGAATTAGCTACATAAGAACAGCATATGGACTCAATTCTTTTCTCTGCATCCAGCACATTCAGGCTACACGGATCATTAGCGTGCACTATCTTGGAACGTGATATGCAAAACAAGGCGCCAAAGACATGCACAGATTCCTATATTATTACAGTGTTAGATCACAGCCACTGTCACACTCTCTGCATATGGATGACCAGAGGCAAGAAGAAGAGATTTAGAGAGTTCATTTTGTTTCATGTTTTTTATTACAGGGATTATTTGTTTTGTAGAGTTGAGAAGGAATGGCATGCAATAATGTGATGGTCCTGGTTTAAGATTGGTTTGGTAATGAATTAGTTCTAATTTGGTTTCGTCCTGGTATAGTCCTGTTATAGTTCTGGTTTAGTTCTGTTATAGTCCTGGAAGCCATAGTTTAGTTCTGTTAATCTTGGTCTTGTCCTAGATTTAGTGAATTAATTTAATCTCACATTTATTGACAAGAATTTGCTGGAGAACACAGCAATAAAGTGTGCAATAATACTGTCCCTTTAGGCTCTAGTTCCAAATTATACAACTAATTAGAATCAGTTGAATAGGAAAATTGTTTCTGCAACTGTATTAAGTAATCCACACTTTCATACTTCCATGTACCATTTTATATCAGAAATGACTCCAAAAGTGTTCCAAAATATATATTATGGATTATATCAGATAATTATTTGAGTTAATTCCTTGTGGTTAAATTTGTGCAATTCCATCTAATGGCTTGATCAATTTAAATACAACACTACACGTAGTTTACTTAGTCAACAAAAAATAATACCATAATACAGTTGTTTTAAATCCTTTTTCACTGTAGGTAAAAATTACCTCAGCTTCAATAAAAAATTGTCTCATTGCTCTTGTGAATTGATATGCAGACATATGGTTTAGCTGTACACAGCCCTGCCTTGGTCCACCTCTCCCTCCTCTCCCTCTGCTCTATCTTTCTCCTTCTCTCTCCATTCATTCTTCCTCTTCCTCTCCTCTGTGTCCCTGTCCCCTGTTCTTCTCTCCTATCCTCTTTTCCCTCTACTCTCGCTCCCTCTTCTTCTCTCCTCTCCCTCTCTATCCGTATCTTATCTCCTTCTCCCCCTCTCTCCACCTTCTCCAACCCATCTCTTTCTTTCTTCTTTCTATCTATTCCTCTCCTTCTATCCTTTCTACCTCTATCTCATCTATCACTCTCCTCTGCCCCTCTTCCTCTCTTCTCACTCCCTCCCCATCTCTCTTTCCTTTTGCATTCCTTCGCTCTCTCTAATCTTTCTCTCTATCCCCATTGCCCCCTCCCTCTTATTGTAGTGGTAGTGGTAGGTCCAGGCTGACTCTCAGGTGATTAATAGTGAGGTGGTTTTGTACTCATCGTTCTTCTGCAATGACACAAACCACAGGCAGATACCATCTTTGCATTCACAGCACACTGCATTACACTCCACATGTACCAGAGCAGGAGGGCTCATGGGTTCAAACGCTCCGCTGTGCAAGATCTTTTTATTTACCACATCTATGTGCTATGTGGCAAAAAGCTACAATTATAAATTGATTATTAAAAGTGCCAGTCCATTTTAAATGATTTGTCTAAAGGTATTCCTCACCTACCTTATGCATTCCAAATATCTTAATTATTCAGAGACCAGTGCAGAATTTTGTCATGTCAGTAAAGCTAACAACAGCTAGCATGCTATTGTGCACTTCCTGCTTAATGGACAGTAAAAGTATAATTAAATGCACACAGCACATAGCAAATTTCTTTTGACCTCAAGGGCTGCTTATATTGTTTTAATTCACGGTACATATCTGCTTTTGAACTCTTCAATGTTTTCTCAGTCAGAAAAAAAGTGAAATTTCTTTTTCTTTAAAAAGGTGCCATTACTCAGCCCCAAAGACATGATTGCTGTTAGTGGAAAGGACTCGCATTTATTTAAAAAAAATAAAAATAAAAATCTCTCATAGATGGGTTGCAGAATGATGACAAATTAGATAAATTAATTTAAAACAAAATATAATATTTTTAAAATGGGAAAAAGTCCTCAAAATGTTGCATCTAACGGGAAGATAAAAATCCATGAAAAGGCCCCTGCCCTCCATCTGACATCAAATTCTTGAACATGAACACAACTTTCACAGTCTAAAGTTACCTTGGGGTGTGCACTCACTGTAAAGTTTGGGAGTCATTAACACTCTCCAGCGCCCTATATCTCAGCGTGGGTTCAATGCACTCCTCCCTCACCTCATCAGAGCCTGAACACTTGTAAATCCTCTTTGCAGGGAGCTTAGTTAACTCCACACAAATAGAAAACTGCAGCAATCTGTGTAAATGTGGCAATGACCATCAGCAATATGCTCTGCTACTTTAGGGAGGCACAAACAGCACTTTTAGACTTCAAGACATGAGACGCTCCACATGATAAACACAATAATGGCTAAAACTAGACATTAACTGGTAATTCTAACAGCAATATTTAATTGAATTAATTTGTGCTAAAAGAGTAAATTAAAGCAATTAGGGTGATACAAAATTGCTAACTATGTTCAACAAATGTGAAAAATGTGCTCTTGATGTAAATGGTTTAGCCCAAGGTTTTGTCCCTATTTAGTCCTGCTTCATCTGTAGTTCTTTTGCGATTTGATAGTTAAAATGTCTTGGATATAAAGTGTCTTCCAAAGTACATAAATTGCTTTAGACTGGATTTGTTCATTATTAATACTTGGCAGCCGTATTCGCTCTCTTAAATCACCAGCCCTTCTCTCACATGGGACATTTATATACGTATATAGGCCATTGGAAAATGAAGAAATATCTGAATTTCCACAAGATTTTCTCTGACCTATACTAATCCAACAGCAATCACCTGATCACAGGTCAATGCAAATGCTGACCCTAACAAGGTGGATGTGAAGTCCCCATCAGGGAATTTACAAGTACTGCCTGCAGAAATTCTGTCTAAGTTGACCTTCATTATGCTTATTAACGAGAACAATGGCATCATAGAGTGGTATGAACCAAAACAAACCACCACACACCAAGTGGAGTCTGAAAATGATGTCTGAAGACTGATGCTTTGACTGAAACTATAGATGGACCAGAGAATCAGAGGGAAGTCAGCCCAGCAGTGGTCAAACCACAAAAAAACAAAATGACCACTGATCTGAAAAACCTCGAGCCCAACAAAACCTCTGCAGTGCTCCATACCAAAGAAACAATTGTTGAGCATATGGCTAATGCTGAGCCAGTTAGTGCACCAAACTCCAACACTCTACCTGAGGTCCAACCTGCACCCTGTAGTGGGCAACTAGTGCTGTTCATCCTGACACAAGCTTTGGTCTAAAATGTACTTAAAATGGATGGGTCAAAAGATGACTGGTATCGTATGGCTCTTGAGCTGCATAGAGAGATCATCTTGTTGTGAGATCAGTTTTAAACATTTACAGATAACCGGCAAAAAAGCAGCCAAGCATCTGAAAGTGGAGTATGGCTCCGCTGGTGCCTTCCTGAGTGCTCCTCATGCTCCAGACACTGCTGCTTTTGAAGCAGCTGTTGTGACCCATCTGAATACTGAACTGAGAGCCTTCTACCACTGCCCTAAGTCTGACCAAACCCACTGCCTCTCCAGGCTGAGGAGGGCATTCACTTTCTATTGCCCAACACTGCATTTCAAAAGAAAGAGCATTTTCTTTGAAATGCACTAAAATGCAATAATTTGTAAAAAAAAAAATAAAGAATGCATACAAATACATATGGCTTACTGTTGTTGTTTATTCATGTGCCTTAAATGCAATTAATACTTTGAGGGGAAGTGCAACGAAGAACTACCTTACACATATTGTACTGTATTGCATGATTTATGACTGCAGTACACATTTATGTAACACTACAGTTTATGAACAGTTTGTTTGCATTTGGACAACTGCAAACCGGTTTAGTTCTAGTAAAAAGATTAGCTATTTTTTCACCTTATTAAGACATATAGCACCTTTAATGCTTTATTGTGGAACTTTCCAGGCAATGAACTCACAACCATTTTTTACCTTTTCTACCTTACCTTTCAGTTTCTTCTTGTGGAGGATGCACTTTTTTCTCAAACCCTGGCAGGCTGCTCATGTCCACATATCCGTCTGTGTCGTTCGCTGTCGTCTTTTGTCGGTTAGACCGTTCAAAATACTCAGTGAAGGGAAACTGCTTCATGGGCCTCCTCTGTGGGACCTGAACGTTCTCATAATCCGAATTTATCGCTGGGACATTTTCGTAATCCGAATTGTCTGTGATTGGAAATGAAATTGACCGAGGTTTAGTGAGAGGAAGAGGTGCAAAAGGGACATGGGAGCGATCATTGAATGACTCAACTCTGACAATGCTACGATTCAAAAAAGACACCGAACCACCTTTTTTCTTACTATCATAATGTAAGAAAGCTGGCTCTTGCTGTTGACTTCTTGAGTTCAGATTTGGCGAACTGGTCAAGCTATGTGTATCCAAATCTGTCAATCTACTGGTAGGCGAAATTGCAGGTTGCTTGTTGTCACCTTTCCTTTTAAATTTCAACATCAAAAATCGTTTCAAGGAAGATTTCTTCTTTTTATTTTTCTCAGAAGGGTCAGTTTCAATAAGTAGCGAAGGTGAACTTTTTGTTATCGGCTTTTTGGTGATGTACGCTAGCTCGAATGGAGGCGGGATCTCCACTACTGAAGTTGGTGTGGAGAGAGGTGAATTTTGGCTAAAATTTGCAAACATTGCACGATTTCGCATTGGGGAACCTTGCATCTCCTGTCCCTCCATTGACAAAGATCTTGGGTATAATGGTAAATAATGAGGTTTTTGATATCCTGCATGTCTCACTAGCATCGGGCTACCACTATGTCCAACAATACCGCTTTTGTAGCTTCTTAAATCACTACTCCTTTGTGACATTGATCCAGTTCGTGCTCCTATTGAAGTCTTGCGTCCCGGTGTATCGTAAACGTGGTCTTCGTTAAAATCCAAGTCGAAAGGGGCGATCGGAGAGTCCAGTTTGTCGAATAAGTCGCTTGGAAAGAGCAGCTCAGACAGTGACGATGATAGCTGTGTCTCCCTTGCTTTTGAAATGGATACAAGCCTGAATCTTGGCTGGCAATCTGGACTATTTGAACAATGCTCAAATATGGGTGCTTTCTGTTGCTTATCTATCCCAAAATTCTTGTCCGGGCATGTGCAAAATGTGTTTGAATCACTGGTTTTATCTTTGCTACCAATCTCAACATACTCTTCAGACAAAACATAGTCTGATTCATCTATACCTCCTCCCATCGAATTCCTGTAAGGGTTTTTATGAAGTTTGAATGAACCAACTCTGTCAATGTTAACAGACACAAGCTTTGGTGATGTATTGTTATTCTTTAAGTTCAAATCTTTGCTCATGTTTTCTAGTTGATTGCAATTTGAATTTGAGTCTCCAATTTCAAGTTTGGATGGAAATACATATTCAGGTTCTTCTTCCTTGACATTGCATTGCATAGCCACCATTTTTCCATATGCATTTTTCTGACAGTTGAAAGAACCAATTCTTTCAATGTTAACCTGGACCACCTTGGGTGACGCATTGTTGTTCGTTATGTTAAAATTTTTACCAATAACCTGTGCTAATTTGTTGCTATCCACATTCAAATTGTCAGTCTCAAGTTTCAAATCCGGACTGTTTTGTTCTTCATTGCACTGTTTTTGCGTATAGACATTTTTATGGAATTTGAAAGGTTTAAGTTTTGGTGATGCAGTATTGTTCGTGGGGCTCAAATCTTTTCTTAAAACAGCTTTCATTTGATTGCAATCTGTATTTGAATCCTTCATGTCTTCCATTTTGTCCTCTGACGCTAGGCCAATACTATTCACCGAAATATCTCCCATTGAAATCCCATCTGTGTCGGCCATTGCTTCACCTCCATCGTAAACATCCACCTCAACAACATCCTCAGTCGAATCAACTTCTTCAACTGTATCCAAAGTCTCCAGCGAATCCGTCTTTTCAGTCAAAGTACTCAATCTCCAATCTTCATCAATTTTTCTTTTGTTTTCGTCACCATTCTTCAAGACGATTTGCACAACATCTTGCATTTTGAGAACATTCCCATTGTCGATAAAGTTACATTTCAAGCTGCCGTTAGGGTAGCCAACCTGGTTTGGCAGTTCTGGTGGCATCCCATTATGGAAGAGTTTTCTGGGTTTAGGGGCGACAGATGGTTTGGGACCCCGAGTTGAAGACATGAGCGGGGAGTGTGAGCTGAGCACTGGAGGAGGCTTGGACCAGTCTGAAACAACAACAGGAAAAAGGAAACTGTAAGATTGTGGGCTTTAAAATAGCTTAAGGTCACTTGTATTGTGTCTCAGTTGTTTAGACTGAGAGGTTTAGGGTTGTTACACCTGGGTAAGAAATAGATTCAGTTCAAGTTTAATAAGTCCAATGCTAATATTTATGTCCGTTTACATAGACTTGATATGCTGATTTAGACCTGGTTTAGTCCAAGATAAATTGGAATTGTTCATTTTTACATAGTCTTGATTAGGTCTTGATAAGGTCATTTAAAGGTGTTCTCCATAACTTTTCTGATGGCTTCTTGTCTCCATGGAGATGTTATTGCTTTGCCTGAAATGTTCCACAGTATGGCACTGGCATTAACCAGTGCCAAAGAATTTAATGTAGGTTTTGGTTATGTACTATTTATCATTGCTTAGTCCCAATTTGAACCACATATTAAGTATTTTAAAAGTGTACTGTGTAACCTTCCTGGTAGCTGCTCGTCTTCATGGAGATATTTTTGCTTTGCCTGGAATGTTCCATAATATGGCATTAAACAGTACCTATGAATTTAGTCTTGGTTTTAGTGATGTTTTGTTAACCTTTTGTTTAGTCCCAATTTGAACCAGATTAGTTGATTTTGTCTTTGTAATGTGTAACTTTACGTGTGGCTCCTTGTCTCCTATAAACATAAATCATTTTGACCATTTAAATTTTATTACAGGTGTTTTTACTGTTCAAAAACATGTATCTTACTGTTAGTGGGGTCATCCCTTCACAGATCTGACCTGTAACTTTGTCTGGTGGAGAAAGTAAGTTCAATGCCACACTGTGGAACATTCTAGGCCAAACAATATCATCTCCATGGACGCAAGCAGGTAGTGTGCACTTAACCAGAAAAGTTGTAGAGTATAGTGATATTTTAAAATAGCTTTAAGGTCACTCGTGCCTGGTTTAGTCCAAGTTTAATCCTGGCTTGGAAATGGTTATATTTATAAACTAGTCCTGGGTTTGCCATTGCAGTTTTGGCTAACGTACAAGTATCCTAGATTGGATTTACTGGTAGTTTTGTTTAGTAAGTTTAATTTGGTTAGTCATGATTAACTCAAGACATGGTTCTAGTATTGGCTTAGTTCTGAGGTCTCTAGTTTTGGATAATCACTAGTTTGCACATACATGGGCTAATTATAGGCCTATATTAACATTCAAAGTCCATAGTTGGAATAAGCCACTACCACCTGCTGCCCCTGACATATAAGTGAACCAGTCCTGTTTCATTATGTTAAAACATGTTATTTTACTAAATTTAAACTGTCCCAAGGTGATTTGAATAGTTTTATCACCATATACAGTCTAATCCAGCATAATTTTAACCTCATATAGGCATGTTTTCATATTTATGTGTCCCATTGTCCAAGCTAAAAAAAATACATTACATTTAGGGATTTCCCTGACTCACTTCCTGCGATTGAAGTTGGACAGAGCACTCGGCTGCTTTTATGGACCAGAAAAGAATAGAGGCTTCAGTAAAAGGGCAACGCTCAAAATTACTCACAATAACGAACAAATGAATTAAAGGGTCATATTCTCATAATAAGATGATCTAATTATCAAGTGGACCATCATTCTGTAGATATATCAAGTTTACCAGGTTATGACGGTTAGCTTTATCTTAACTTTATCATACTTAACTTAACCACAGTTAAAGATGCACTATTTAACTTTTCTTATCTTTTTTTTTCTATGGAGATGCTACTGTGTTGCCTGGAAGTATCCACAGTATGGAATTATACCTGCCATTAATTCACTCACAAGCGTTTTTTTATTGGAAAAAATACCCTACTTAGTATATATCTCCATGAAGACAGGTGGTGGACCATCCATCCAAAAAGTTACTTGGTGAAACTTTAATAACAATTACAGCAACCTAAATGATCTTTAAATGTTGGTGTAGGCTATTGACTTACAGAACAAAAACATAGCATATCTTTGTACACATGTTGAAATTACAAGTTACATTCACCTTGAGCAAGAATGTATGGTTTTTCTTAACACACTTTTTAATAGTTTTATTGGGTCTCAAATTTGTTGCCTATGACTTGAGTTTAACCTTGCGTAAATGGACTTCCGGAGGAAGCACAAATTTATTAGCAAACCAGTTTAACCTGTAGTTATTACATGTAGTCTATCTGTTTTTGATTGATAGCCTAAATTCACGGGGAAATAGCCTAGGAGAAAAAGAAGGTCAAAATCCAAATCTTACCGGAGTTCATTTTGAGTCTGTCGTCTCTCTCATGTCGTCCGCAAACGCTCAGATCCACGTGTAGTGTTGAATAAAGTCGCTCTCTCACATTTGGCTCACATCACCTCTGCTCGCGTTCAAAAGGAGTGTCACTACAAACGGCTCCAGCTCCTCCTCGCGCCCTCCGTGACTGCGGGTGAGCTGGAGGGGGGGCTGCTCAGCTGATCGCTCGCCTCGCGCCCTCCCTCCTCCCCCTCCTCCTCCGGGTCCAGAGCCGGGGCCAGACTGGAAACACAATGGCGGAGGTCCAGGTCGACAACATCACAGCGGGAGCAGCAGGTGAGTCGACGAACGTAGGAAATACGGTAAATTTAGACATATGTTTATGCTGATTTAGTGTTAGGCTACAAAATTTACGCTCTTTGGAAAATATTAGAAAGTTTGGAAACTGGTAAACTGGTAAATGTAGTTTTATGGGTTTTTTTAGACTTAAAAATAAATAAATAAATAAATAAAAGAAATTAATAAGAAGAAGAAAAAGAAGAAAAATTCACTATATTGCAACATCATTTTACATTTTAACATTATTAATTTTAGCTGCCCCCATCTGTATTCATTAATATTGAACTACAGAATGCTGTGATGTCATCTGAAACCCGCCAATACCTGCTTGTCACTATGTACATGATTTTCTTCGCCTGAAATCTTCAAATAAATTCTTTTGGGGATCAATAAAGTTTGACAAAGTTATTATGGCATTAAACATTTCTGTTTATTCAGCTGCAGGTGTTTCTAAATTGGAAAAAAATATCTTGGAAATACATGTAGGCCATAGGTACTTGTTCTGGCTTGTTTTCACAATTGTATCCATGGAGATTTCTTTGCCTTGAATGTTCCACATCATGACATTAAACTTATCTATCTTGCATTTATTCAAATACAGGTGTTTCATAACTTGAAAAACATGAATCCTTACTCTGAGCATCCTCTACTTTCCACAGATCTCCATGGAGCTGGACACCACGGAATGTTCTTGGGGGACCAATGACCTCACCATGGAGGCAGAAGCAGGTGACTGATCCTCCACCAGAAAAGTTACATAGTGCACCTTGAATCACTGACTGTACACAGACTAGTATACAGTATTGTCCCATAAAGTGTCATTGAATAGACTTGTTTGTGATGGGTCTTCCTGTCCTTGTTTGCTGCAGTCTGTCTCTACATAACAGGAACCTGCTCTCTCTGCTTCCTGCTTCACATCCTCCACAGTTTATGGACCAAACCCTCACATTTAACCCCTGTGTGTGGCTCCTACTTTGAGCTATTTCCATGACCACTCAGCTAGACAAGATTTATGGAAACTACTAAACATGCGCAGCCAAGTGTACACACAAGACCACACAGGATTAAAATCAATAGAGGTTACATTAGAGATATGATTTTAGATTAGAAGTTAAATCACAATATTTGGGGACTGGGCTCGTGGTAAAAGCTTTCTACCATGTTCATTACATTTCGTTACACCATGAGGTCAAAGTCAATCTAATGTAACACAAGGAAATCCCCAAATCCGTCAATGCTTTGGACCGGTTTTGGCACGGTTTGTGCCATGTCTTCAAAAATGAGACAAAAAATAAGTACACAAGAGGTGGGAAATATAACAAAAAATGTCTACATGAAATTGTTGGTTTGGAGGTATGTAAAATTCAAATTTTGTGTATTTAGCCTATAGTAGAAAAAAGTATTTTAAATAGCTGCAAAATAGAGCTGATTAAAAACAAAAAGAAAAGAATTTTGAAGGGTAATCTTCCAAGTTTAGCTGATATTTATGCACATTTTACAGTCAGTTCACTTTTTGTGCGATAACTGAACCTCAACCAAGTCATTTAGGTAATACAGCCAATTACAGGCATTTTGATTTTATTGAAAAAAAAAAGAAAAATTAAAGAGCCCAGATTATGTTATTTTCTGATGTCTTTTATAATGTTGTCTCCTCAGCAAAAACAGACCTGGAGTTGTGTTATGTTTCATTTGCATGTTTAACACAAAATCTTCATATTTAGGCTCTTCACTCTCTTCTACCTTGTGATGTCATGTGGTAATACAGACCACCACTATTTTCTTGAATGCCATAATTTCCTGCATTATCTATCTATATATCTATCTCTACTAAACTAACAGTAAAAGGTAGCTGTTATCTCAAAAACTATTGCTTCATGACATCACATGATGTCATTTTAACAAGATGTCATTTTAAGATTTGGAGATGTAGACAGCAATAAAGCAAAATGTAATTTCAGGTATGTTTTTGAGGTGGTAACCACATTATAACATGGCCAAAAGCTCACAAGAGTCAGTTTTGTGTAATATAGGACCTTTAAAAAAACATTTTTCTTACTGTATACAGGCTCGCCTCTCCATTGACGTGGCCTGTAACTTAGCTTGGTTGCATCATCTGCTTTTCTTCATGGAGATACGTAACTTTATTCAGGAAAACGAATAGAACAGAAAAGTTTGTATAGTCGTGTATCATTCATATCCTAATAAAAAAGGCATGCATTATCTGTTTTGAAATAAAAGAACGCAATTAATTTAGCCATGCCTTAACTGGAATTAGAAAATGACATTCACCATTCTGACACAGTTGCTTATCTCTTCCACCTCACAGTAATAAGGTCCCATGAGATTTTTCCCTGTTTCTTGTTCTGTAGAGGTATTTGATTCAGCTCATTACTAAACATTACACTGCAGGTTTGACCCCATTTTGTCAGTGAAATAATCATGTTTTCATCTGAATGGATAAAGAGGAGGAAGGTGAGCTGTGGAGGAAATAAAAACAAACAAATCTAAGGAGGAAGAGGATGGAGTTTGGGTCAAAGGGAAGTACAGTCACAAACATGAATCAGGTGAATGAAAAGTGTTTAAATGAGTCAAATCAGATTTTAGTGTTGTATTGTTATAGATTATGCAGATTAAGGATCAGAGAGTATGGCATATTTACACCAAGTTATAGTGTACCAATTTATATGAATTATTTCTTATTTTTTCACATGAAAATAATGGAGAAGAAATGTGTACACTGTAAATAAATATTTAATTTAACTAACTTTATCTAAAAATATGTTTTTGGTTTGGTTTGGTTTGTTTTTTTGTTTTTGTTTTTTTCAGTTTTTGCACTGAAAATCTTTTGTCCTTTCTGTCAGCGGGCTTGCATCTCCACAAACCTGACTCCTATTTGCCCTGGAGGAAAGCCTCCTCCTGCTCGTTTCCATGGAAATGTTGTTTCTTTGGTTATAATATTCCAGAGTATGGCATAAAATGTATCTTTATCTATGGCGAATGTTCCAAAGTATGGTTTTAACTTTCTATTTCCATGGTGCTAAGCAGGTGACGTGCTGTCTCCAGATGTAAATTTCACAGGGAAAAATAAGTGTTTAAAGGTCCCTTATTATGCAATGTTGACTTTATGCTTATTGTTACCTCATCAAAAACATGCCTGGTGTTGTGTTTTGTTTCATTCACAAGTTTGAGTAACCCTGCTTTATCAGGCTGTCTACATCTCCCAACGACAAACTGCCCTGTACTGATTTGTGATGTCATGAAGTGGTAGTTTGGCAGAGTTGGCAGTTCTAAAGCTGAAAATATGTAAATGATTCTAGTGAAGGTGTATGGAGTTTAAAAATACAGTGGAGCACTTCCTGTATTACCACAGCACAAGGTGGGACAGAGTGTTTTCAGTTTGAGAGAAGAACTCAGCCTAAATTTGTTTGTGTGTTAAAGACCTATGAAACAAAACACAACTCTAGGTCTGTTTGTGATGAAACAACATTAGAACATAGACCAGAATATAATATAATATGGGCTCTTTAATCAACCAGCCATTATAAGGATGGGGTATATGGACCATCAAGAACCATCAAAACATAGCTCATGTCATCATCTCATGTTCTCCAGCCTTATATTTCCTTGTGTTTACAGTTGTGTCTCAACTGTCCCTGTAAAGTCCCTGTCTCTGTGTCTCCTGTTTATGCGTGAAAATGTCTGAGGCGTCTCAAGGAAAAACAAAAAAAACAATACGACGTTTAAAAAAGGAACAGCGCCGATCTGCTCCTTCCTGCCCCTGTCCAGTCTGGAGCGAGGGCGGGGCACAAACACAAGATAATACTGTTTTTGAACTACTAAGGCTGTAATAAGCTTTAATATCTGTGTATTTGTTATGTTGTTATTGTTAATTCCTATTTACAAAACAAATTCCCACCAATACCAAACCTGAAAGTGTGTTTGCCTCAGTTCAATTGGTAAATGAACAAGAAACAAGCTAAAGGCCCATATTACACTTTCTGATGATGATCTAAACTTTAATGTTGTTTCCTCATCACAGACATACCTGGAGTTGTGTTTTGGTTCATTACACATGTTTAACACACAATCTCTTCAAAAAAAATAAAGGCTATGTTCTTCTCTTAAATGTACACCTTGTTCCACTTTGTGATATCATGTGATAATACAGGAAGTGTTCCATTGTGTTTTTCAACTCCATACAATAACAATAATGCATGATAATCCCAGTAAACCATCTCTAAATATGATGTATTATTAAGTGGCATGAGCTGCAGCAAATAAATGGCAGAAGGAACCAATAATTAGCCATAGAAGTTAGTTATTCAACCCTCTACAGCTTAAATCTTATTGTATTACAAATAAAGTACCCCAAATCTCCCCACTTTTATGAAGAAAATGTACACATGATGAATTTTGAGCCCCAAAACATATTGGTCCAGCTTTCATGAACGATAAGTGGATATAATAATTATAATAAAGACAGGCCTACTGTTAACAAGTATAAAGTGTTAACAGAAAAACAGTTTACTTTTTAAACTACTGAACACTATGATACTAAGAATACAAATGTGGCAACAGTTTCTTGCCCAAGGGCACAACAACATCTGCTTTGGAAGTTTGAGGCTTGTGAAATCTTCATAGCTCCATTCCCCTTCAGTCTGCTGAATTATTATTATGTGCATTTCTTTTATAGGGGGACATAATTTGTAAAAGCGACTTTTATGAGCTTTCATCCATTATTATCCGTGTGTTTCCTCATCATTAGCTAATTTGTGTTTTGATTGATTCATGCATGTTTAAGTAAACGTAGAAAAGTTCAGAAAAGTTCAGTATCCTATACC